TCTTTGCATCACCTTTAGACCAAGATGGCCAATCCAGACATGCCATAAAGTGAATAATTTCGTGAGTAAAACTCTGGTTACCATGGTATTTGCCTCTTATCATACTGATCTTGGCATAGTAAAGATCAGTAGAGGATGCATGTATAGTCTTGACCACTTTCTTATGGCCTTAGGCGATTTTTTCTTTCTATAATCTGAAGGAACTTTTATTTCTTTTGCCCATTATTTCAATATGGAAACCATTATTATATCTTTATATCTTATATCTCAGTGAGCTTCTCTGGGTGAATATAAATCATGCCCTTTAGGCAATGATACAATTCCCTGGCTGTGGTCCTTTATTGGACTTACTATACTTTACAATTTAAACTCATATTGGCGTTATTAATAAAGAAAATCATTCATATTATTAAGAAAAAATCAGAAAATATAATAGCATTAAAATATACTCAAAGAAATCATATTATTATAAAGAAAGCATAAACAGAAAACAGAGCAAACACTAAATCAAACAAAAACATAAAAAGAAACATAATGTTGAAATTCATTCTCTTAGGCAATCTGAAGTCTCATAATCCATAAGGTTATCCTTCTCATGATCAAAGTCGTTTTCCCCATCATGGTGGACCGAATGGGCTTCTGGATTCTTCCCTTTATGGCTCTCTTGATAGAGGTCACAAAGATGTTTGGGAGTCCTACAATTCTTAGCCCAATGGTTGTCCATTCCACACTTGTGGCACACTGATTTGGACGAGTGTGGTGGTTTAGAGATACCACCACATCCTCTGCCTCGACCATGGCCGAAATTGGGTCCACATCCACGGTTATAGTGGTTCCCATGGCCATGGGAGCTATAGTGTCCACGCCCACCACGTCCTCTTCATCCACCACGGCTATGACCGTGTGGTTTATCACTCTGGACGTGGTTACTTTCTTTAGAATCTTTCTTTTCTTCTATAGCCTTATTGGCTTCAGGTAATGGGGTTGAGCTAGGAGGTCTCATCTCACTGTTCATCATGAGCAACTCATTAGTCTCAGCCAGTAATAGGCATGAGATCAGATCAGTATAGGTGGTGAAACCATTTTTTCTGTATTGTTGATGTAGCAACACATTGTTAGAATGGAATTTGGAGAAGGTCTTTTCCAAGATATCCTTTTCTGTTACAGTTTCACCACAAGTCTCATCCTGGAAACAATTTTGAATAGAGCTGAGTTATATTCATCCACCGTTTTGAAATCCTGGATCCTCAGGTGTTTCCAGTCATGTGTGGCCTTTGGTAATAACACCGTTTTCTGGTGATCATATCTCCATTGTAAAGCCGTCCAAAGGTCTAGAGGATTTTCAATAGTGAGATACTGATCTTTTAGACCCTCAGTGAGATATGGCGAATAATACTTATTGCCTTGTATCTACTTATATCATTCTCATTGTTATCCTTGATGATAGTCTCATGGAGTCCTTTTTACCTCATGTTGATTTTAGTATCTAGTGCCCATCGCAAATAGTTATCTTTAGAGAGATTTAGGACACTATAATCTAGATCAATGTTTAGGTTTCATAAAATAATTTACATGTGGCCAAGCAAACAATCAAGTCATACGAATGCTTTATCAAAATAAGTCACACGGCTAAGGTGAAATGATGCAAGCAATTTTAATAAAAAATCACAATACATACGGTATATATGTTCAATATGGATATGATGCATCAATCCTAGCAATTGGGTACTAATATGTATATGCAAGGATCATGCGGCTATTTTATAACCAGTTATACAGGTCAATCAAAACATGCGGCCATATATGATGTTCTATCACCCTAATAAAATGATTACTATATGCTCATGATGCATACAAGTCGTATGAATATAATGCAAACACCTTAGCATTTAATTTCTATATGTATAAGGCCACACGGGCATGGAGATATATGATGCAAGTAATCTTAATGAACAATTACTATCATGCAAGCAAATAATGCTAAGAAACAAACAATGACAAACCGGATTCTATACATTAGATTTAGGGTTAACAAATTTAGGGTTAAAAACTTAGCAATATGCGCATGGAGTTTTATAGGGTTTCAGATTAGGGTTTCAATTCATAATAAGTATCCATTTCTTGCTAATGATCCTTAAACCTCAAAACAATTTATAAAACTAGTAATCAGATTTATCAATATGAAATTTAGGGTTTCAAGGCCCTTTTAGGGTTTCAATTTTGGAATTAGGTTAAACATTTTATCTAGCAACCTAAACCTCAAATCATCAAACAATTTAATCAATCAAGAACAACAATCAAAATCGGATTCAACTTTAGGGTTTAGAGTTATTGATTCCAAATATTATGGTTTATATCGACCAAGCAATGAAACAATCGAAATAAGTTTTAGGGAATCAAATTCTGTTGCATGGAATGTTTGTACATTCATGCGGTTTGATGTTTAAGATTTTAGGGGATAGATTTTTTAGGGTTTCGCAAGAACAATCGGATGCCATTTGAATGACTTTAGGGTTTTAAGGTTTGATCATTAGGTTTTAGGGTTTAATCGATGTACCTTAGAGTTTGTAGGGTTGAACCGGACCACCGAGAGAGAGAACCACGAGCTTGGAACGAGCTTTGAGATTGTAGGGTCGCGGTAGTGCTATCGGATCGCGAATAGATGAGATCGTCTAGGAGCTTCTCTTGGTCGGGATTTGTTGATCGGATTGCAGGAACTGAGATCTTCGAACAAGCGGCTGGTCGGGGAAAAGGATCGTGAATTAAGGTTCCCGCGGTGCTAGGGTTATGCCGGAAAAAGGAAAGAACCGCGAACTAGGGTTTCTCGGGTCTAGGGGTCGCCGAGAAAAGGAAACAGCCGATCTAGGGCTTCGCTGGAAAAAGGAAAGAGCCGAGGACTTGATGGGTGATCGCCGGCGAGGATGAACTACAGTTTTTTCTGGTTGGATGTTTAGCTTAGAGTTAGAGAACCACTTGTGTTGATAACGTGTTGCAAACTAATGAGAGAATAGAGAAATTGGTGTTGTATATTACTCATAACATAGGATCCCTTATATAGAGAATTACATGGGAGATAAATGAAAAATACAAACCCAATACAAATATAAAAAATGGTAAGTCTAAACCGTCATATAGACTATACGGATTGGACATAATTAATATGGTTATGGTTCATCCACTAATTGATTCATAACAGTATGATGTCAATTTTTTGTTTACTCCATTATGGGTACAAAATAGAACTACTTTCTCTGTATTTGTAAAGAATTTCAAAAACGGTTTTCCCTCGTAAATACACATTTTCAGTCACATCTTATAATTTTTGAGATTTTCTAATTCTGTAAAAATTCTATAAATTAATAATATTAAAATTATAATATTTTATTAATTCATAAAATATATTCTTATAAATTCATTTTTTTTTCTTTTATCATATATATATTGATTAAATTTTTAGAAATTTGAATTTATATTTTAATTATATTATTTTATGTATAAGAAATATGTTTGATAAAAATTAGATGTTATTCTGGATACAATTTTACTAAATACTATCACAATATATTAAAGTGTTAAGAAATAGAAAATAATTTCATTATGAATATAAATAAACAATACAGTGTTTTGTTTATACCTATATAAATTGTATATATACATTCTTCATTCATGATTTCAATGTGACCATAATTCACATATAATTTTTAAAAAATTATTATCTTATCAAAGTATGTTATATTTTAAATCCAATTCAGAACTAATACAATTTATATCTATTCTATTAAAATAGAGTCATTTTTTTATTTACTGATACAAGTTGTCATTTAAATTTGGACCCTTTCTAGAATGTTACAAATAATATAAGTTATATAATTGATTGAACCGTATTACTTAAATTAAATCAACACAATTAATGTAAAAAGACGATCTTAATGTAAACTACCTTCTAAATACGACAGATATCTATGTGTATACCGAAAACACATATTTTTTCCTACAAATATGGAATGTTCTAAAAGAATATATATCATCAAAATATGGAATATGGAAATCTACTAATTATACTTAAATTAAACCAGTGGTTATTTATGGAATATAGTCTTGAGCTTACTTTTATTTTTTGAACAAATGTATATAGTTTGGTTTTTAGGCTTAGTATTAAGAAAAAACACCAAAAACATTGAATAAACTTTTCACCTTAAAAGATCAAAAATCATTTATTATTTTTAACAAAACAAGATTATCTATTATTAATCATTTATTTAAATCATGTACTTTAAAACATGTTAATATATATTTTTATTTTAAATAAAAATCAGTTTGTTTTGATAAATTTCAATTGTAACTTTTAAATAATATATTGTTTTGTTTTTCTTAAATAATTTACTGATTAAAAAAATGTAAAACAAAACCAAAAACCAAAAAACCAAATCTAAAAACTAAAATCCAAAACCAAAAGCTGAAAACACATATTATATTTTTTTGATTTGTTTATTTAGAAAATAAACTATTTCAAATTTTTTTTTAAAATTTTACTTCATCTTTTCAGTTTTAAATTAGATGTTTGATTATTTGAGATTTCTTTGTTGGTAATATCTGTTCAAACTAACTCAGCGGGTTTAAAAATTAAAAATCCAAACCAAAAACTGAAAATGAAAAGTAGAAACTTAAAAACTAAAAACCAAAAACCAAAATCTAAAAAAAAAAGTGAAACTAAAAACTAATGAAAAACAATCATCACCACAAATTTTGGTGAACTGATTTTATATCAAAATATTCTTTAAATTAAGACAAATCCCAATTATATAAATTTTTAATCATAAAAATTTCCGCGCTTTTAAGCGCGGGTCAAAATCTAGTTTTTTCTTATTTATTAGTTTATAGAATATTAAGTTTATAAAGTTGTTACTGTATATTTTAAACTACAAAATTAACTTTGATTAGCCACCAGACGAGATATGTATATAAAATAGTGTATGATTTTATTTTATTTTATTTTTTTTGGCACAATAATAGTGTATGATTAGGCTTCATAAAACTAAGCAGAAAACAATCTTGTTTGTTGACAAAATGAGAGACTGAAGGAGAAGCCGATTATGCAATCTCTCTTCTTTGAAATAGAGAGAGCCAAGGAGGGCGTAAAAGAGCAGACGGTGGCGCACCGTAGCACCGCCTCTCCTTAACTTACGCCTTTCTTTCTCTTCCGATTTCGGATTATTCCTCTTCTCCTCTCTGAGTTCGCTTCGATCCCACGCCATAACTTTCCCGTTTTGATTCTTCCCACAAACAAAAAAAGTTATTACTTTTCAATATCGGATTTGTCTACACCGTCAGATGCATCATTCACTCTCTAAATCTCTCACAACGGTGAATTCAGAAAAACTGTGGCGGACATCAAAGGAACCCTACCTTCCCGATCGGTGGTTCGAATTGCAAATCCAAGAAGAAGAAACGGAGAGGTGAGATGGTGTGGATCATGAGATTCTCCGGTTTATTCTCGGCTCTTTCGGTTATCATCGTCCTCTCTCCTTCTCACCAATCATTTCCTCCAGCCGAAGCCATCAGATCCTCTCAACTCAACTCCTACTTCAAAAGAGCCCCTCTGTTCCACAATGCCGCTCACTGCTCCTCCGCCGACATCGATCCCAACGTCTGCAACCCTTCCTTAGTCCACGTCGCGATTACTCTCGATCTCGACTACCTCCGCGGCTCAATCGCCGCCGTTCACTCGATCCTCCAACATTCGTCGTGTCCAAAGAGCGTCTTCTTCCATTTCATCGTCTCCGAGACTGACCTAGAATCATTAGTTCGTTCTAGCTTCCCCGATTTGAGATTCAAGGTTTACTATTTCGATCCGGAGATTGTACGTGCCTTTATCTCATCCTCCGTGAGGCAAGCACTCGAGCAGCCATTGAATTACGCTAGAAACTACTTAGCTGATCTCTTAGAGCCCTGCGTGCGGCGCGTGATCTACCTTGATTCCGATCTAATCGTCGTCGATGATATCGCGAAGCTTTGGAAGACGAGATTAGGATCGAAAACGATCGGAGCTCCGGAGTACTGCCACGCGAACTTCACAAAGTACTTCACGCCGGCGTTCTGGTCGGATTCGAGGTTTTCCGGGGCGTTTCGGGGGAGGAACGCGTGTTACTTCAACACGGGAGTGATGGTGATGGATCTTGAGAGGTGGAGGAGGGTAGGGTATACGGAGGTGATAGAGAAATGGATGGAGATTCAGAAGAGTGATAGGATTTACGAGCTGGGATCTTTGCCTCCGTTCTTGCTTGTTTTCGCCGGAGAAGTAGCGCCGATTGAGCATCGGTGGAACCAGCATGGTCTCGGTGGAGATAACGTGAGGGGGAGCTGTAGAGATTTGCATCCCGGTCCGGTTAGCTTGTTGCATTGGTCTGGGAGTGGTAAACCGTGGTTCCGGTTAGATTCGAGACGGCCTTGTCCACTTGATTCTCTTTGGGCACCTTATGATTTGTATGGACACTCACGCTAGCTGATTTCGATTCTCTGTTACATATGGGGGTATATAGTCTCAGTTTGGTACATTCTCTCATCCCCTCACGACAACAAACAAAATGAAAACCATTTTTACTGCCCATTAATTCTTTGTTTCTTCCCTCTGTATTCTATTCGAATTGTTCCTTCTTCTTCTGTGCATAAAAATAATAAACATAAAAAAAAAACATACATAGGATACATTCAGATTATATGTTGTGAATCTTCCTTGTACATATATTTTTACCACATGTTCTTTTTCATTACAAGTCTGTCAATTTTTACTTAACAATGCTTTTGTCAATCGTTTATTGTCTTAATCCAAACTAACATTTGATTCCAATATTCGCCTACAGTAAAATTAAAATGAGAAGGACACGATGAGTGCATTCTGGTTGAGTGATGGTGTCGGTCTCTTTGCTTACTTCACTTTTCTTTTTTTTAGTGCCGACTCATCTTTTGATGAGTGGGATTATTGATTGCCACTCGAGGTTGTTTGATATATTAATAAACCTTGCATCACATAAAGCGTCACAATTTAGAGCCGAAAACAGAAGTGCCTATTCTGTCGTCCTCAGGTTGGTACACCAAAACGTAAAGCACTTTACTCTGTAAATCGACATTTCAACACACACGATAGTCGGAATTATTGATCGATTACTTAATTAAATATTATGCGAACTTTTTCTGATGCAAGTAGATGTTTTCGATCTTTATCATGCAAATTTGATTTTTATGTGGCAGTTCATTATTTCAACTTGCGTATAGGACACGAAAAGCATGTTTTATTTTTGGAATAATAATCCGTAAAAAGTAAGTCTGATTAATATCCTACTTATTACTATTGGTATTCGATTGTTTCTGTTTCTTTACAAACAATAATCGCTGCACATATTTGGTGGTTTTATCTAAAAAATGATAATGAGAGTGTTTATAATTTTTTTATTGTTTTTGCAAAAATGCAAACATAATGCACAAAGTGCTTGCTAATTAAATCTCATAGGAGCCGACTGAAACATCAAATCGACTTAGAGCATGTTTATTGGGTGTGCTTAGGGAGGGTGCTTAAGGAGGGAAATGTTTAGTTTTGAAGAGAGAGAGTGTTGAAAGTGCTTAATTAAGCACTTTCAACACTTTCTCCCTTCAAAACTAAGCACCCCACTTCTCTAAGCACCCCCTTAAGTACTCTCCCAATAAATATGCTCTTAGGGTACTAAGCATCGGGTCTAAGTAGTTCCTAATTACAAAACAATTAGTATCGTAAGGCCAATGGTCGGGTAATATATATCATGTATGGCCATCAACTACACAATGCAATGAAGAATCACATGATGAAAAATCACATATAAGAAAATCACAGTATTACATTGTATTATTACTACAATAATTGCTTCTTATCATTATGTAATAACCTTCTCTATGGTTTATTGTAAATCTAAATTGACATGTAATTACAAACAGATTACCAAAAGAAAAATGTAATTACAACCAAACAAATCATAATACGTTGTAAAATACTTCAAAAAAATAGTAAACTAAATCAATTACAAAATAAGATCGGATGTAGCTAGTACAGAGTACGAAACAGTTCAATATAGTCGAATACAAAACTGAGATTGATGGAATGGAAGAATGAAATGTAAGCGAAGTTACTAATAAAACACCTTCTGGGATTAAAGAAAAGAAGGCATTATCAGCGAAACTTGCAACGTTTGTTTAGGCCTCCCATGAATCAGATAAGTACCTCATCAACTTAGCTGGGATTATGAAGGCTCATCAATCTCTATTTACTTTCAAAACTAACAATTAAAAATCATAAACCAAACTATTCTCTTAATCATACGAGAAAACGAAGAAAGGAGAATCCAACTACTAATATCTAACTCAAGACCGCAAAAATCGAACGAGTATCAAATCACGATGAGCGAGTGAGAAGCCGCTATGGATTAAAGAAGAAACTGAGGCAACGACAAATATATAAAAGATTCTCTTTACCATTAGGGTTTCCGATTTTAAACTTTTGGGCTGGCATAGTTAGGCCTCTAAATTGAACGGGCCCATATTCTTGGATGAATAAACTACGCAATCCTACTATTAGGCTTGGTTGTTCGAAGGGTTGATTTAGATTTTTGGATTTTTGTATTATGTGTATAAATCTCATTCGAATTTTTTTAATTATCAGATTGAATATTTTTTTTATTTTTTCTGGGTTTGATTTGGATCAGATTATAATTAATGTATAAAATCATCCAAAAATAATTTTAACTAAAAATTTGACAAAAACACTCAAAATATATAAAGTTTTTTTATACATCTAATTAAAAAATAATTAATAAAATAAACTACAAAATATTTAAAATGCTCTACAACATCTAAAATACCTTACATATATAAAAACATTAACATATTTTACTAATTCTAGATATTTTCAGATTCTAGTTTAGATTTCGGGTTATACCCAAACTCAAACTACCAAGCTATTAAGTTTCGTTCGTATATTTTTGTATAACGTCTTTAATCGGGTTTCGTTTTTCTTTTTGGTTCGAGTAAAGGTAAGTAATTTGGTTAGGGATAAAAACCCCAAATGTATACATATTAGTGGGGAAGATGAGCATTTTATTCTCCAAGTATTCGAAATCAGCAATTTTGATACACAAGTATTACTCGAGCAAATTATTCTCCAACTAATAGTTGACTACGTGAAACTATGATCGAAATAGTCAACTGTTAGCTAGTTAACCAAATATAACGGCTTCCGTCAATTTTTAATGGTTGACTATTCAAATCATAACTTTGTGCAGTCAATAATTAATTGAAGAATAAATATACGCATATAATATTTGAGTATTTAATTTGCTAATTGAAAATACTTGAAGAATTTACAAATTTATTTTTTAAAGAAAAATCCTAATTTTAAAAATCAAGCTAGATACAATCAATATAGGAGAATTTTAGTTTTTGAAAGAGATTTTTGAGATTTTACAATGACATGTACAATCATACAAATAATTATAGTTACATTATATTATTGATGTATTTCATGTTATAAAATCACATATGGATGATCTCATATCATTTAGAGAATTATATGTTTTTTTATTGGATCTCTACTTTATACTAGAGGTGGGCAAAAAAAAAAAAACAAACTGAGTCAAACCAAACCAATTGAACTGAAACCGCTCCAAACCAAACCGAGTTAAACCAAACAAAAACCTAGTGTGCTTTTGTTATTATTTGAACACTAAAGTCACTATTAACATTATACAATATACAACATACTATAATCCTAACAATAAAATCACTATTAACTTTATTAATGTTTTTATTTTAATTTTCTATTTATTTTAGTTAACTTTGGTTTGATTGTGTTCTTATAAAAATGTTGTGGTTTCTTTAAAGATTTTTGTTTCAATTTTATTTATAATTAATTTATATAGTTCTTGTTTCAGTTTTATATTGAATTTAGTTTACATAGTTTATTTTTTCATAGTCACCAACATGATGATTTTATGACCATATGTTTATGTTTTAAAACATGATTTTTCTTAAAAGAACTAAACTAAACTAAAAGAATTCGATTAAACCGAAACACAAACCAAGCCGAATACAAACTGAAACGAATACAAACCAAACCGAAACCGATCCAAGTCAGACTAATTATGGTTACTTCTGTTGGAAAAATTCTAGAACCAGATTAACCAAATCAATAAATAACGGAAGTGCCTATCCCTACTTAGACAATCATTAAATGCATCAATAATACAATGCAACTATAATTATTTATATTATTGTACATGTCATTTTAAAAGCTCAATAATCTCTTTCAAAAAATAAAAACCATGTATATTAATTATATTTGACTTGAAAATCTTTTAAACTGTGATCTTTTTTTATTTAAAAAAAGAGAGATTGATGTTTTAAATTCCTCAAGTTTTTTCAATCCGCAAATTAAATACTTAAGTATTATTTGGGCATATTTATTCCTCAACTAATCGTTAACTGCATAAAATTATGATTCGAATAGTTAATCGTTAAAAAGTTGATGGAAACCGTTATATTTTGGTTAACAAGTTAACAATTGACTATTTTTGTTCTTAATTTCGCGCAGTCAACTTCTAGTCGGAAAGTAATTCAGTGCGCAATACTTAAGTATAAAACTGCCGATTTCAATAAATATTTGGGAATAAACTGCTCAGTTACCGATATTAATGTCCACTAGTAGCTAATTAATGTCCTTTTTCAGTGTTGTGCTATACCTCCTTGGTGTGCGACCGTTTGTACGGTTGTGAATGGGGAGCATGTTTATGATCGTGCATCACACTTGTATGAGTACCAAACATGATTTGAGATTACTTGTGATGATAACATTTTAAATTCTTGATTACTCAGTTAACAATTTTTTATAAAACCCCATTTGTTGAAATCATTTGCCTCATCTCACTTAGAAACAAACAAAAGAACTAGCCTAAGGCAAAAGACAGGCCACGCTCTCTGCAATGGCGATAAAAAACACCTCCTTGGCTATTTGCCTCCTCTTTTCTTTGGCCACCATAGCTACTGCTTACTACTCTCCCTCATCTCCTCCAGTTCACCGGTCACCGGTTTACAACCACAAGCCTACACTTCCACCACCGGTTTACACCCACAAGCCTACACTCCCACCTCCGGTTTACACCAAACCAACTCTTCCACCGGTTTACAAACCAACTCTCCCTCCTCCAGTCTACAAAAATTCTCCTAGCTATTCTCCTCCTTCATATGTCCCCAAACCAACATACTCTCCACCCACCAAGCCATATGTCCCCAAACCAACATACACTCCACCCACCAAGCCATATGTCCCAAAGCCAACCTACACTCCACCAACCAAACCATATGTTCCAAAACCAACCTACACTCCTCNATGTCCCCAAACCAACATACTCTCCACCCACCAAGCCATATGTCCCCAAACCAACATACACTCCACCCACCAAGCCATATGTCCCAAAGCCAACC